GAACCCAATAAGACATCAGTGTCAAAAAAATAACAATATAAAACATAAAGCAAAAATGGACAATTATAAACCTGCAGGGGAGGAGGAGGGAGAGGGATTGGAGGGAGGGAGGGAGGAGCACAGGGGACTGAGGTGATGGTGCACGGGTGCATTGGGGAAGGAAACACTGTGGGGACTACACCTGAGGGGGTGGGGTGAGCAAATATTGTTTAAAAATAAACAATGAAGTAATAAATAAATAATTTCTGCTAAAAAAAAAATTTATGTTCCCAAAGTAGACGCCAGCCCTCCTCCTCTCTATCATTCCCTACCCCACAATTTACACCTCGGGAAACTGAGGTCCAGAGACGGAAAGAAGACATCCAGGGTCAGCTGGAGACAGACCAGAAGCAGAGTGCTGCCTCTGGATTTCACATCGGATCACTGACAAATGTCCCCATTCTTTAATACTCTTCCCTTCAAGAGCTGGAGCCCCAGTCGCCTCTCCTCAGGCATGGGCTGGACGGAGAGCTTCATTTAGAGAGGAGAATAAAGTGGAAGTGATAGGAGACTAGGTCAGAAAAGGAAGTGGGGCATCCTCTCTCTCTCTCTCTCTCTCTCTCTGTCTCTCTCTCTCTCTAATTGCTCTGGAAAAGGTCATCTGCCATATGTGATTTTGAAAAAGTTACCCTCAGTTTTCCACATCCATATAATAGGAGGAAAATAGCACTTGTCTCCAGTGATTATTGTGAGAATTCAATGAGTCAGTTCATGTGCTGGCGCAGAGTAAGTGACATATAACAAGGATGTTGGGTAAAGTAGTGCAGATTTTTCACTGTTCAAGAGCCTAATCTTACAAGTCAAATAGGGGATCACCAATCCCTGCCCTTTGGCCTGGGGTTGCCTACTAAGAGATGGCCCTGTTTTGGGTCTCCTTGCTGGCGCAAGGGGTTAAGCACAGCACTGTGAAGCTGCCCACAGCCTCTGCAGCACAAGTTTGATCCCCGGCCGGCCAGGGAGCAACCCACATGGCGCAGCAGACCTCTCCTGTCTCGCCCGCTGCTCCCCTCAGCAGTATATTTCGTCAGTCTGCCTGTTCTGTTCCCCACTCTGTCTCTGGTGAATCCTCTCACCCCTGCACCTCTGGCCTGTACCCCAGTTTTTGTATGCATAAATAATAAAAAATAAATCTTAAAAAAAAGAGATGGTCCTGTTTTATAATTTATACTAAGGCCAGGCATAAGCCAACAACTGTCTTAATATGTGCTAGTTGTCAGATAGGGATTTAAGTCCAAACACTCCCTTAGCATGGTCCTTAGGCTCTGCGCTGATGTTAGCTGAGTTGATGCTGGCTGTGTTACAGCTTTTGGTGGTTTTGTGGAGTTCTCCAGCATAAACTCAGTGGGAGGCCTGTATCCTAAGCCTTGCCATGACCATTCAGGTATAGGTAATAAATGTAAAAGTGAAATGTAAAAAAATTGACAATTTAAAAATGTTTAAAGTTCTGTGTGGCAACACCATGTATTGCTTTAGGTATACACACAGATTTGGTTCAAGTGTAAAGGAATGCATAGGAATGCATGTTCTAGAACAGGGTACGTAGGTGGAGAGGGATGGGATCAGAAAAGGGTGTATGGGGGCCTTCAATGTAATTCATAACTAATTTATTAAGCTTAATGGTGGATATACAAGTGCTTATTATTCTTTAATCTTAAGTATTTAAACTCATTTATAATTAATACAATTGCAAACAACCATCTTTCTATGAAGAACTAATTTTTACTTCTCATAAGTCTCTGTGAAATATTAAGTCAACGTATTGATTTGAAACCACCGATTTAAGCAATCATTTATTTACATGTATTTGCTATTGAATAAAAGAATGTTCTAATTGTTAAGAAGTTCATATGGGGTCTCCCCTGGTGGCACAGCGGTTGAGCGCTGGGTTGTGAGGCTGCCCCCAGCCTCTGCAGCGCCAGTTCGATCCCCAGCCACCGGCGAGGGTCCCACACACACACAAAAAAGTTCATATGAACATTATAATATTTATAATAAACTGTTTGGATATTTGACTACTTAGGAGGGCAGGGTCTCTGTCTTATTCATATTTATTATTTCTGTTATATGTAAATATTAATAAATGTTAAATTAAGTTGAATAAAACATAAATAGGGTGGTTTTATCCTCACAGAGCTTTCATATACTATGGGAGAGAAAGGACACAGGACACAAGACACAGGACATGACAGGTATATCATAACTTATGAGCCAGGTTTTATGGAAACTGAATTCATTCATGTATTTATTCAGTTCATGAGTAATTATTAGTCATCTACTAGGCAGGGGCTTATAGTTATAAACAAGAGAGACAAGGTCTTTGGTTTTTACATGGTTCCCCTCACCACCTTTATCACTCCTCACTGATTTATGCCACATACATCTTCTACTTGGATAATTGCAATAATCCAATGTTGTAATCCTAACTCATCCTCCTGCTTGTCTCCCTCACAGTAAAATTGATGAGAAAATATATTGAGCAATGAATATAATAAAGATTCCAGCAGAACTTCCAGCCCAGGTGCAATGAACATTCCCATGCAGGCATCATCAACAAGCTTGCTTTCTTACAGCTCCTTCCCTTTCAAGATTCATGGCCAGAGCCTCAGCACTCTTATCTACAAGGTCGGGCAGCCGGCTAACCTTGTCTCTCTCTCTCCGAGGCCATGCCTGAATGCCTACATCTTTCCCCCCTTGCCTTGCCTCCCTTGTCTGGGGACTTTGCTGCAAATGGTTGTGCCTGCTGAAAAACAATGTTATCAACGTAACAGATATGGACACGGTTGTGTATAAAAGGAGCCCTTGGTCTTTAAACATGTGCTCAGACCTTACAGGGCTACCCAGGTCTGGGACCTCATGCATGAGTAATAAAGCTTCTGACCTCACCATTCCTGCAGTACCGCTTGTTCTTCCTCTGCCTGGGTAAAAGGCTAGAATTTATTTCTGCAACAAAATCTCAGCTGTATCCATTAAGGTTCTGCTAAAATCTAAGTTAGAACTTGTCACTCCTTTGCGCTAAAACCTCCAATGGCTTCTCATCTGAGGGATGTTGTAGAAATGGGCATAGTTCTGCAAAATCCTCCTACCAAGAGGTGAAGACTCTTTCTCAACCCAGTGAGTCTGGGCTATGACTCTTTTTGTCTAATAGAATGTGGCAGAAGAAACACCATATGAATTCCGAGTGAATTTGAATGCTTCTGCTCTTACTCTTGGAATCCTGCAACTACCGTGTTGCTGGATTCTCCTCCACGTGGAGGAGAATCCATGCAGGACCATCTTAGATGAGCCAATTATCAGCCAACCAACCAGCTGTCTGAGGACATGTGATGGAGCCCAGCTAAGATCAGACTAGCCCAGCCTTTATCAGAAGAAACTTCCAGATGACCCACAACTAAACTCACTCGAAATACGTGGTTGTTGTTTCATGTCATTGAGGTTTTTGGCGGTTTGTTAGGCAGCAAAAGCTAACTGATTCATCATCTCGTTCAGAGAAAAAGTCCCATTGCCAACGGAATCTGCAGTATTTAGAACATTGCCGGTACAGGGTAGGTGCTCAATAAACTGCTGAGTGAATGAATACATGCATAAAGGGAGCTAATATTCTAATGAGGGAAACAGAAGCCCCTCAAGTAAATAAACCAGTAAAATAACACAGAATTTGGTAACAAGCAGAGGCTGATGTTGAGAATCAGAGTGGAAGTGGGAGAGTGGGTCCTCCAAGGTCTCCCCATTTCTTCTAGAAGAAAACCCCAAATTCATATAGTGGCCTGGAATGCCCTACATGACTCGCCCCTTGATACCTCGTTGACTTCACTCCCTTCCGCTCAAGCCTCTGCTCCAGTGGCTCTGGTTATTTCTCCAACACACCCCACACAAGCGTACGAGGGCCCTTGCTGATTCCCACGCCTGGAACGTTCTTCTTCAGACACACACATCATTCACTTCCTATCATCCTTCAGGTCTCTGCTTAGATGCCCCCTTTCAGGAAGGCCTTCCAGACCACCCTGTAGAAACAGCAACCCATTGACCCCAAATTCCTAACCCCTACCTGATGTTATTTTTCTCCATAGCACTTGCCACCACCTGTCTTACATACTAACTGCTGTGTTTACTGTCTGCCTTCTCCACTCAGATATAGCTTCTGTGAGAGAAAGCATTTTGCTTTGCTCAGTTTACCCTTAGGGCAAAATTGTTGTAGGGCAGAAATTCAGCCAGTGGATATAAAATCCTGCAGGGACCCCAATTCCTTCAATCCTGAGAACGAGCAAGGCAAACATTGGCTTTGTGCCTGGGAATGGATCAAGGCCTTTTTAGAACGCCAGGGTGCCCAGGTGAGTAGTGTTAGGTTGATTACTGAAAGCTCCACACGTGGGCTCGTGGCAAGGTTAGGGGTGTTACAGCGCAGCACGGCAAGGAGAGCAGCACTGCGAGGAAGGGCCATCTGGGGAGCAGAGTTTAGTCTGCCAGGGACATTCTAATACATTATATGTTTCTTGAAACAGGCCAGAGAGTTAGGCAAGGCAGCAGGTTTTATCTCTCTTGCTCTCTGTCTCTCTCAGTCACACACACACACACACACACACACACACACTCTGACACAGGAGCTACCCAAGGCCACAGACTTGGTAGGAGGTAGAGCAGGAATTCAAGTCCCGGTTGGTTTGACTCCAAGTGTAGAGCTCGTTTCATTCTTCTTTTCTGCTTCTCCCTCTAGGCTGTGAGGGTAGCCTTCTTGAATCATTAAGATTCAGGGCCTGTCCTGACCTCCTGAGAGGCCCTCCACAGAAGAGGCTTCTTTTCTCCAAAGAGAGCCTCCTGCCAAGAGGCACAGGGGCTGCATAAACATTGAGAGCATCAATTCCAGCACCTCCCCTGAGACCCTCAGATCACCACAGCCTGGTCTGTTTGATAGGAAGGGACTGTGCCCTCCAGCCCCGTGGTCCGCAGCCCACCCCAGGGCCGGCTGCCCGGAGGCCGCGAGGAAGACCCATCGTCAGACAAGACCGGCAGCTGCTTTCAGTTGAAAACCAGAAAGAAATCCCAATCTCATGGCTTTATTTTGGTTTAGAAATCAAGTCGAGTGACAATGGAAACTCTTTCCCTGCTGTCCTCTCCTTTCTGCCCATGTTGACAGAAGGACTTGCTAATTCTGGCTGGGGTTTTTCCCTCCCTGGGCTGTTTTTACTCTTTTATCTCCATCAATTGAAGAGAGCTCTTCAGCCTTTCAAACTGTCGGAAGGTATCTGGGGTTTTGTGTATTTTTTTTCTTTCTTTCACATAATTCTGTGGGTCTTTTCCCAGATATGTATTTTTTCTCAAATTAACTTCAAACTTGTTTAAGTTTCCGCCCATGTGACTTCCAGCGTGAGTTACCAGAAACCACAAGAGAGAGAGCGCCAGCCCCAAAGCGAGCGACATGTCCCTGCGGGGAGCAGTGCCTCTGCACCCCAGAGTGAGGAGGACGCAGGGGTCAGAGGCGGCTGCAGGGCTGGTAGAGGAGGGACCCGCAGAGGGGGGCAAGCCGGAGGCCTGGGAGCCGCCACACAGGAAGGCCAGCTGGTGACCAGCGAGCCCAGAGGCGTCTGGGGCTGTGAGCAGAGCCGGAAGACTGCAGCCATGCCTCACAGCTCCGACAGCAGCGACTCCAGCTTCAGCCGCTCTCCTCCCCCGGGCAAGCAGGTAGAGTCCTCCTTTTCCGCCCTCCTACCTCCTGATCCCCTGGGCGGCAGGCAGAGGAGCAGGGTCCTTGTCCTGCCCTGGAAGCCGAGGAGCTGAGGAGCGAGGACCCTGGCGTGCTAGGCTGGAGGCAGGAGCACTCTATTTGACTTAGGATGTGGTATTTGCGTTTAAGCTGTGCACATGGGTGGGAGCCCTCATCCTTCACCCATTCTGCCAAAGCCCCTTTTTCACTGTGCTCCCCAGGGGTGCTGATCGCCTCCACCTCCTCTGGGTTCCCACCCCATGAAGCTTTCTAGGAAGCCAAGAGGAGAATGAACATCAAAGAGGTCCAGGCTCTTGGAGGACAGGGCCTGCCTTCTCCCAGGCAGGAGGGGGCTGCTTAGCCCAAGCCCTTGATAAGCGGTTTCCCAGACATCAACATCAGGGCAAGAGAAGAAAGGGATCAGGGAGAAATAAAGAATAAAACACAAGCAAGTTAGAAGGAGGGAGAGCCTGGTCAACACAGAAAGATCTTTTCTTATCGATGGGGCAGTGCCCAGGGCACTGGCACAGCCAGTGGAGAGCATGCTGGAGCCTCTGTCCTCTGTGGCTTCTGGACAGGAAGAAGGAAATAAATCAGGAGGTGGCTCGGAGACTTGGAGACATGCATTCGTAGCTCTCAGTTCAGCTCTGGAGAAACCAGAGATTATGGTAGGGGTTTCTGGGATGGCTTGGAGTTTAGGTTTAAGTCAAAGGTTTTCACTGTGAAGATTGCCCAAAAAATGGGGCACCCTGCCTCAGAGCTTCTGGGGCTTTCCTTTCACCGCACCGCTTGACATGGGTCTCCATTGGAGGCTGCTTCTTTCTCATCTATCAATGGGTTAAAATTTCTTCTCCACCCGTGTTGATTAAAAATTGCATTCTTAGCATAGATCACCAAAAGGGCTTTCAAAATGCTTTGCAGCCCAAGTAAAAGTATTTAAACATGTAATAGAGCTGCTGCGCTATATACCAGGAGAGCACAGGTTGTAAGAAATCCTGGTGGAGACCACTAGGGGGCAGACAATCCAGTCCTCTGCTCAAGATGGTGTCAGTGTCTCAGACTGCCTGGAAGTCTGCACTCTTCTTAGGAAGGAAATTACTCATGGCTTCCATGGTAACCTGGTTCCCATCCCCCTTAGAGGAAGAACACTTCCTTCCTTTCTAACCCCATGCCCTCCTGTTGCAATGCCTGGAAGTACTGGGTGTGTTGGTGAGATACATGCATGGTGAGCACCGTCCTGCCCTTTCCTGTGGGGATGTGGCGGGTCAGGGAGGGAACTGCTGAAGGGCTTCATCGCAGCCTCTGGGAAAGGCTGGGACTACCCTAGGCCCATGCAGAAGATATGCCCATCTATGGGGTTTACTCAGAAAATATCCAAAGGTCTCCTTATCCTCCTACGCACCCACTCACTACCTGCATGGCCAGGTAAACTCCTCCTAAGGTCGTCCTGATCATTGGTTTGTACCAGACATTGTGCTCAAAGCCTCAGGGAATGTCAAGGTCACTGAGCATAATGAAGGGAATAGGGGAAGAAAGAGGAAGATCTGGGATGGGGAACTTGGCCCAAGCTGAAGATAGAGACATGTGGGGTATAGGCCAGGCAGGTGGTTGTGGTGGTGGGGAATAGGTATCAGACTTATCGTGAGAACATGTAATTCCCAGAGTACTGTGAGCTCTCAGGCAAGCTCTTGGAGCCTCAATTTTCTCATGTTTAAAATGGAAGCCATAATATCAACTGTGCAGAATCGGGCAATTAAACAAGAAAACTTTGTAAAAGTATTTGCACAGAAGCAGGCATAAAATAGCAAGAAAGTTCTAGTTCAAAAAGTGAGAATAAGGGTGGGGCAGCCCTGAAAAGGAGAGGCAGTAAAACGCATTTAATTGCCTTAACCATTTTTTCCCAAATACGGTCCTCTTGAGACCTCAAGATCTTGTGCCCTCTTCCTGTAGGTTTTACAAGAAAGTGACCGAGATCTCAGGAAGCATAATAGACAGTGGGGAAGAGCTCTCTTTGGGGCCTGGGCTTTTGATAAACAGGTGGATGGATGAGTAAATGAAAAGATGAAGAAATGGGAGGCTGGATGGACTAAAACCAACCACCTGCGTGCCTCTTAGAAGAGAAGAGCAGACGTGCCTAATTTATATCATCTCTGCTTCCCAGGACTCATCAGATGATGCGAGAAAAGTTCAGAGAAGGGAGAAAAATCGCATCGCTGCCCAGAAGAGCCGGCAGAGGCAGACACAGAAGGCTGACACCCTGCACCTGGTGAGTGTTCAGGCTTCTGTGTCCTCCTGAGCTGGGGTCCTGCCCCACCACTGTGGAACCTGGGCTATATCTTTGAATCTACCTGTTTGGAGAGAGCAAGTGGAGGGGTGAGGGCTGCAGGGTGAAATGGGGTGGGGAGGCTCTTCTGTGAGTGCATTTTTTTCTAAAGATTTATTTATGCATACAAAACTGGGGTACAGGCCAGATGTGGGGGGGGCAGTGAGAGGAGTCACCAGAGACAAAGTGGGGAACAGAACAGGCGGATTGACTGAAATACACTGCTGAGGCAAGCAGCGGGCGAGGCAGGAAAGGTCTGCTGCGCCATGTGGGTTGCTCCCTGGCCAGGGATCGGGGATCGAACTCGTGCTGCAGTAGCTGCGGATAGCATCATAGGTTGCGTATTAATCCCTTGAGCCACCAGGGAGGCCCACTGTGAGTGTATTGAGAAGACTCAGCATGAGGACTGAGTCAGGAGGCTGAGAAGAGAAATGAGCCTCTCTTGCCTGAGGTCCAGGGTGCACAAGTGGATAAATTGAATGTGGGAAGCCCAGAGGCTGGTGGAAGCAGAACCACCTGCTCAGAGTTGTTGGGGTGGCCTGAGAGAGAGCCCCTTCCTGTAGGAGCCACAGCAAGAAGAAGGCAGGACCTCCTTTAGGAGGAATTTAGAAGAGTTAAGTGCTTTGGGGGAGCTCATTATCCTGAAATGTTAAGATCACACATAGTTCCACCCTGGGAGGCCACTTGGGCACCATCTTGGGCTGCATTTAGGGCAAGGAGACAAGGATGCTCCACCTTACTCCTCTTTTCAGAAAATCATTAAGATTTAATTTTGAAATTTCAATTTTTAAAAAAGATTTATTTATTTATGCATACAACACCTGGGATACAAGCCAGAGATATGGGGGGTGAGAGGATTCACCAGAGACAAAGTGGGGAACAGAACAGGCAGACTGACTGAAGTACACTGCTGAGGGGAGCAGCGGGCAGGCAAGTCAGGAGAGGTCTGCTGCGCCATGTGGGTAGCTCCCTGGCCGGCCGGGGATCGAACTCATGCTGCAGAGGCTGAAGATTGCTTCATAGTGCAGTGCTTAACCCCTTGAGCCACCAGGGAGGCCCCTCAATTTTTTTTTTGAAGATTTATTTATTTATTTATTTATTTATTTATTTATTTATTTATTTATTTATTTATTTATACAAGCACTGGGTACAGTCAGAAGCGCGGGAGGGTGGGAGAATTCACTAGAGCCAGAGCGGGGAGCAGAGCAGGCAGACTGACAAAATACACTGCTGAAGGGAGCAGCGGGCGGGGCAGGAGAGGTCTGCTGCCCCATGTGGGACCTTCGCTGGTGGCCAGGGATCAAACCAGCATTGCACAGGCTATGGGCAGTTTTGCAGCCCAATGCTCAACCGCTGCGCCATCAGGAGAGGCCCTGAAATTTCAATTTTTAATGATATCCACCTGGGGTCTGTGACAGGTAAGTTTCAGGTATACTTATCAGGGTAGTCACCCTCCAGGCTGAGTTGCCTCCAATGTCAAACTTTGTAGAGAAAGCCCAGGCCCAGCCTACGCAGGGACCTCCGGGGGTGCTGAAATGCGATGCCCACACCCAAGGCTGCAGCCTCCTCTCCTAGGTGTGCTGTGCTCTTTCCAGAGTGACATTTTTTCCTGGTCTCCCAGCCCTTACTGCCTTACCTCTCTTATCTGCCCCTTCATTTGGTTCTTATTCAACCAGCTTACTTCACTGGCTCCTTCCTCCTCCAGCCTCCCGTCCCTCCTCTAGCAAGTTCACCCTCCTGCCCTTCCTCCTGATCCATTTCCAAACCTCTAGCATCTTAGAAATTTTAATGGTAAAAAAAGCCACTGGCTTTTTTTTAATGGTTAAAAATGAGCAATTGCCTCAAAATATGAATAGGCTTGTATTTATTTGAAAGATTGGCCTGGCATTCCGTCAGATAGAACAGTTGCTTTTGTCCACCAGGTACAGGGATGGTATAGTTGTAGAAAAAAAGATGCTTCTTTTGGCTTTGCAAGGGAGCCGAAGGCAGGCAGCGGCAACGTGTCTGATGGAACGCCTGTGTTTTATTTGGAATGTATTCAGCATAGTTCATTGCATACTATGTTGCTTTAAATTTGTAAATATTTGTTGAATTGAAAGAAAAATGAATGAGTGCCGTGCCTGTGCTTCCTTTTGGGCCTGTGCTGGGCAGCCTAAACATGTTACCATTTGTATGTTCTCATCGTGATTTCGTTTTTTTAAAGATTTATTTATTTATGCACACAAGACCTGGGGTACAGGCCAGAGGTGTGAGGGGTGAGAGGATTCACCAGAGACAGAGTGGGGATCAAAACAGGCAGACTGACTGAAACACACTGCTGAGGGGAGCAGCAGGCGAGACAGGAGAGGTCTGCTGCACCATGTGAGTTGTTCCCTGGCCGCTGGGGATCAAATTCATGCTTCAGTGGCTGGGACAGCTTCACAGTGCTGTGCTTAACCCCTTGTGCCACCAGGGAGGTTCCATAATGGTTATTATTATATGTTATTCTAAGAAGCAAAATAATAACCCCAACTTAAGACACATATGCATTTTATACATTATAATAGATAATAAAATTTATTATGCAATAACAATGTATTTAAAGCCTATGTATTGTGGAAACAAAATATTTACTGCACAATTTCAGAACTGAAAGATTTCTTTTTTTTGATTAAAGATTTATTTATTTATACAAGCACTGGGTATACAGTCAGACGCGTGGGAGGGTGAGAGGATTCACCAGAGCCAGAGTGGGGAATAGAACAGGCAGACTGATGAAATACACTGCTGAGGGGAGCAACGGCTGCGGCAAGAGAGGTCTGTGCACCATGTGGGACCCTCGCCGGCAGCCAGGGATCGAACCAGCGCTGCAGAGGCTGCGGGCAGCTTCGCTGCCCAGTGCTCAACTGCTGTGCCACCAGGGGAGGCCTAAAAGATTTCTTAAAGTCTAGAAATTTCAGATATGCTTTTGATGCTTGTGGTGCCCCTAGGCCACTCCTGGGAAATAATCCCCCCTAATACCTGGGGCACTTCTAGTGACAGAGAGCTCCCCCCTCCTAATGTGACAGAGTCAGCTTCCCTAGCTTGCTCCTTTCTCCCTGTAAGTTCAACTCACCAGTCTTCATTCAAGCCCTTGGGGGACATCTGTGAGGATGACGTCTCTGTCTCTTTGCTGTGTCGAGGTTCTCCACTCTGGCTGTCTCTCTCTGTCCAACAGGTGTTGGAACAGATGATTTAGCCCCTCTGAGTATACACGTCATGACTGCGTTGAAATAACTCTGGGGGCCCATGGAACCCCAGTCATGCAATCACCATGTCAACACCCTCGGCCCCAGCCTATCTCTAGAGCATCCCCATTGCCCTCTCCCCACTCCTTTCTTTGGAGCCCTTAGCATTTGTTTTCACTTTTTTTTTTTTTTAAAGATTTATTTATTTATGCATACAAGAGCTGGGGTACAGGCCAGAGATGTGGGGGTGTGAGAAGATTCACCAGAGAGACAGAGTGGGGAGCAGAACAGGCAGACTGAGTGAAATACACTGCTAAGGGGAGCAGCAGGCAAGTCAGGAGAGGTCTGCTGTGCCATGTGGGTAGCTTCCTGGCCGGCAGGGATTGAACTCGTGCTGCAGAGGCTGCGGATTGCTTCATAGTGCAGTGCTTAACCACTTGTGCTGCCAGGGAGTCCCTGTTTTCATTTTTTGACAGTGAGTGGATCACATCAGTTTGCATAGCCAACTTAGGGATTGCAGTCAGTGCAACTTATGTTATCTTGGCTCTGGGTAGAAGTGTTTGGCAACAGCACATAAATCTGCCATCAAACAGAGGGTTTAGCTGTTGTGTGAAATGTCAGTTTCCTCTCAGACTATAATGGGTACTTTATTCTCTTAATTATGTTTGTGATTCACGTAGAAAATCTTCTGATTTTCTTTATTTTATTTTACTGTTTTAAAGATTTATTTATGCATACAAGAACTGGGGTGTAAGCCAGAGGTGCGGGGGTGGGAGGTGGTGGTGAGAGGATTCACCAGAGAGAGTGGGGAGCAGAGCAGGCAGATCTACTGAAATACATTGCTGAAAGGAGTAGCGGGCAAGACAGGAGAGGTCTGCCACGCCGTGTGGGTTTCTCCCTGGCTGCTGGGGATGGAACTCATGCTGTAGTAGCTGCGGATAGGTTCATAGCACTGTCTTTAACCCCTGAGCCACCAGGGAGGTCCGAAAATCTTCTGATTTTCAAGCTGCATTTTCAAGCAGCATTCAAGTGCTTTATTTGCACTTAACTCTTTTTCCATCCACGCTTGGCTCAATATGTTGAGGCTCCAGAACCACCCTCTAGGCCTCAGATATAGCCATAGGACTCCTCTGTCCATACTCTGAACACCAGGGCTTAGCAGGTACTGAGAGAACAGTATCAAAGAAGCATCATGGCTGTATTAGTATTCTAGCCTCAATGATGCAGGAGTAACCTCATTTTCTTGTCACCATTATCTCTCTTAAAATACCAAGAGAATTATCTTGTTTCTCCAGTAACCGTGTGGGATACTTCCTCCTTAACATTTCCAGTGTCTGTCCTATAAGTGGTTTACAGAAAAATACTGTGCATTGATTGCTTTTAAAACAGCAGAGTAGGAAAGGAGCCTCTTTTGAAGACTGTGTTTAATCTGAGGCAACGTTAGAACATCTCCAGCACGACCGCCCCTCACATAAGCTGGAGCACGTGCTTCTTCTCCTAAGTGTGATATTGACCAACACAGTCCACATTCTGTTTTAATTCTCCTTTGGTTGGACATTTCATACAAGCACCCATCACACTTCCCTCCCACAGACACTGCAGAGGCCATGGGTGTAGTAAAGGCATTGATGATACAGGAGGAAGAAATATCCTGATCATTTTGTTTCTAAACTATATCAGTAGCTGGTAAGTGAATCCAGAGTCATCAGCTGAAAAACTATTAAAAATAGTAAGAGA